AATAAAACCTTATTTACAAAAAGAGGTTTCAAGCCCAAAAGTAGTTTGCTGACCCCTGGAGTAGACAATCAGCACAGATTAGACCAAATATCTTTATGAAGTTTCTCCTAAGCAAGGGCCGGACTCAGTTATTCCATGAATCAGGGAATTCCAGGCACTACTAGCTGGCAAGGAAGCAGCATTGGAAGAACTACTGACTTGTGTCCCACCTGGGGGGTCCTGGCAATTGTAACAGTCCCTTCCCCCTGCCACCTCAGGAGCGCCCTATGCACTTCCAGTACTATAGTTCTGGTGTGAAGATCACCACTCTCCTGAAGACACATGACTTACACATTAGGGGTAGCCATGAGAGATCTCCAAGTATTTAAGTAAACTTCAGCAGCAAATAACACAGTAGTCCAATGAGATCTCCCTAAAATGAGCTACCCTTATTTATTTCAGGGAGCTACATGGAGCAATATCTGTGAATCGTGTGGGCAGTTTTCCCTAGAATACGAGTGGTCCAACTATAAATTTTTCCCTGAATTTTCACTAAAGTGATCAATGGCACCACTTCAGCTTTGGAATTCATTCAGGTCAGCTTCAACTCACTGGCCAGGATATTTATAGATGACAGGCTTTCTCCTGGTGGGCAAAGGTGGAGTCTTTGCAACCACAAAGAGGAACCAACATCAAGGCTCATGTTGCTTACTGTGCCATGAGTTATAAAGTTCTGTCTCCCTAATCTGGGAACATAGTGATATCTGCCAGGATCCATGAAACTGATGCAGGCTAACTTGCTAGCTTGCAGATAGGGTAAACTTTCAGACCTTTCACAATTCTTGACAATATTGTAACACAATCCCTAGTTGTAAGAGATCCTGTGACCATAGTTTTCCAAATAGGAATATATTGCACTCTCAAACTGAATTTGATCTTTTGTTTGCAAACAAAAAAGGGAGAATAGTATTGACCCAACCAGCTGAACAAATCCCATGAACCATAAGAGTTTACTTCAAAAATCCAGGTGACTTTCTCCTTAACTTTCTGCATAAATCTTTCCACTTGGCCAGAAGCATTAATCCTGGTAAAAAAGGATTTGTGTGTGTGTGTGTGCTTACAGGGACTCCACTTTTTTGCCCACAAGGAAGAAGCAGCTATTTCTGACAGGGATAGGTCAGTCTATTTAGACCCAATGATTGTCCTGTTTCCATGCTTCCAATGATAACTAAACCTTCCTAACTGACATAGTATTTTTAAAATTTTCCTATGTTGAAATCAGCAGGCTTGAAGTAATTAAAAATTATCTCTTTTTAATGAAGGTGATTCTGTACATTTAATTTGTAAACTTATTTTTTATTTTACAACTATCAGAAATTAATCATATTCTTATTTGTATAGTGTCAAAGTAATTTAGTGGTTGATAGCAGGGACTATGGAAAAGACAATCAGTGTTTGAATCTGGGCTTTTCCATGTATTTGCAAATTACCTGAACTTTCAGTACCTCAGTTTTTTCATTTGTAAAAATAATAAAAACAATGATAACTACCTCAGAGGGTTATTGTGAGGAATAAATGAGATAATACATGGAAAGTACTTAGAACAGAGCTTGGATGTAGTAAATGTTCTCCATAAGATTAGCCCTTGTTATTATACTTTAGAGAGACAGTTTATTGCAACTACTTTATATTTATTGCATGTGGTTAAGAGCATAGGCCCTGTCAGACTTTAAAGCTCTTAGGTATGTTTTTTGTGAATAAGTCACTCATCAGTTGTTTCTGTTTTCCTATTTGTAAAATTGTGACAATAATATTACCTAATTCATAGAGCTGTTGGAAAGATTAAATGATATAAACATAAAATATTTATTCTACTGCCTGGCAAATAAAAATGCTCAGAGATATTTTAATTGCTGCAAGACTTGATCACACTTTTTCTCTATTAAAGTGGCTGTTTCTCACGTATAAAATCCTACCTAACTTTCAAAATAAAGCTCAACGTCCACCTATAAAGTCTTTTTTAATCACTGCTGGCAAAATTAAACACCTTTTTGTTACACAGCACTAGCATTCAGTTTGTATCGTTCGTAACAGTCCACACATTATTTCCTCTATTAAGACAGATATATAAATATTTTACCCTCTTTGTTAATTGTAAGCTTCTTAAAGGCTAAGCCAGCGTTTTTAAATACTTTTTATCTGATATTTGCATTGCACTAAGCAAGTGAGCAAAGACTATTTCCTGAAGGACAAATTTTTAAAAGCTCAATACTTCCTAACCTCTTTTCAAGCCTTTTAAAAAATGTCTTGAATCAATCCATTCAAATAAAGTTTCCACATTTTTCTCTTTTCATCCATTGACTTAAAATCTAAGAAGTGAATTTTCTTTGTTAAGAAACTTAAAGTAGACTTTTATATTGTGCCCTTAATTATAATCAACTGCTTTTGAAAAAAGTTTCTCTAATTAACTTGATATAGAAGCCTATTATCTATGAAGGCTTCTATATCAAGTCTTCTTTTTAAGTCTTAAGAAAAGCATATTTTTCTAAGCAAAATACATCTTCAATAACATCTGGCCCCAGCAAGCTGCCTGATTCCATCTATAGAAGATGCTTAATCCATTCATTAATGAAAGCAATTTCTGATAACCAAGATAAAAGGCAAGTGCAATTCCAATGTTTGAACTTAAAATGATGACACTGATGAAATGGATATGTAAATACATATAGCCCTCTTCAAGGTACAAGACATTTAGAGAGCTTGATGTTTATTTTGGACTCCAGCTCAATTCTTTACTTGAAAGGTCTATTGCAAATATTAAAAGGAAATTTTCTTTCATTAAACAAGGGTATTACTGGAAATAATTTTAATGATAGAAGCAGGGTAATTTTTTTGTGTATTATTAAATTAAAGAAGTCAAAAAGCAAGTTTATCACCAGAGTAAAAGACAATTCCTAGAACAAATCCTGTATCCAACAGAGGACCCAGTCATATACTGTATGATTATTTCATCTTTTTTACTTAAAGAAAAGCTGGGGAAAATGGGTGAGAAATTTCAAATGTATATAAATGATTCTGTGACTATGTACTTAGTATATATTTTCAAAAATATATTTACCTCATCAATAATAAAAATGTCTTCTCTCATACAAATTTCCAGACTGTAATCCACACAGGACTGGGAAATAAACTAACAAGGGATTTTCTTCCCTCATGGGCATTTACAGTCAAAGAATAAAATTCTCATTCAATGCTGTCAAAATGCCTTGATCAAAAATCACTTTTCTGTTCTTTGTTTTACAGGACTATTTTGATAGCAGTAACTAAAAAGTGTTTCCCTCCCTGAAAGAATGACTTCAGGTTTTAAAATTCATTATTCCAACGTAGGTTTGATCAGAGGCCAAAGAATACTGTTTAAATTATAAAGGCTGCGAATAATATGACTGGAAGAAAATCGACAGAGGCATATTCAGCATGTTGATTATACAGATAAAGAGTTTACTGTGTTCACCAAATAATTCTATCAGTGATTTTCAGACTTGTGTTGGGTTCAGTCCTTACTTTTACTGATGAGCCAATTATTTTTTATATCCTTTTTGTTTACTTTATTCATTTCAGTCTCTTGTCTTTGTTCTGTGACCTCTAAATAATATGAATTAAGCAACAAAAATAAGGATTTCCATCATAGAGACAAAAGAGTGTGTTTCTAGAGAGTGCCACAGACTTTGGCTGAAGCCTACCCATCGAGTTTAATGGGACTCCGGCTGCCAAAACCCCACACAACCTTTGAATATTTAGGGCTAAATGTAACTGCCACTTGGTCTCCCTCCCTGTTGCTTCCCAGATTTCTGCCAACTTGTTTGTTCTCACTTCCATTGATGGCACTTTCTGGCGTAATCTTGTGTAACTGTTCTCCAGTATTGTTCATAAGGCTGGGTAGATTATGACAAGAAAACCATTTTTAAAAAAATGCTTATTTACTTATTTGCTAAGAAAAATAAACTGCACTGCAGAGGGTGAAATACTACTCTCCAATTTTCATTTCATAAAAATTTAAAAACTGGACCTATCCATACTGAACAGAAAGTTTTTCCAAGACTACTGCCCAAGACATAACCTCTAAGGAAACACATCTTTCAAAATACACATTCTTTATAGAGGTCTGTTCACTTCCCCTCATTTGGTTATATCCATCTCTATTTTATTTCTCCCCCTAGTGATAAAAGTAAGAGGAAAATTGCATTTGAAGATTTCTGGGATCACTCAGTTAGAAAACAGGTAAGATAAATTAAAAATATATAGAGAGAGATTTTAATAAAACTAATACTATTTTTACTTACTTTTCTTAATGTAACATAATTAAATATAGGGAGACAATGCATTTTTCACCTCAAATTACAGTAAATTTAGAGACAATACCTTGTGTTTTACCTTAGAAGATTACATAGTTTTTATACTACCCAGTATTTTTGTGAGATTTTATATTGTAGACATTATGCTGTGCTAATCATAAAGAAATATAATATAATTTCAAAGAGTTAAATATTGAGTAGATATTAAAGTCTACACAAGAGTATAAACAAGATCTGTCAGATTAATTTTGAACCAATAAATAAGATGAGGTAATTTTTTCACTGTTCCAGGATCTATCCAAAATGGGATTCTGTTATTATAGAGAATTATACATTTTTTTGAAAGGGGAGAAAGACGGTGTTGTCTTTATGACGTCCCATTAATTGAAAAGTCAAGATATACTGAGTCGGATTCCCCTTAGAAACATTTGTGAACTGAGTATTAGGTCTAGGTATTTATTTTTAAATTCAACTTCATACAATAGGATTGAACTTAATGACATTAACAAAATTTTTGGTTGTGGCTGCTAGGTTTCTAAGAAGAATATGACACGACAAGAAAAATATAAATAGCGATGAGTAAGCTCCTTGAAATTTTTCAAGATTTAATGAAGTCGCTTCTCATGCAAATATCAGCCCACAAAACTTGCACAAATGACAAACACTTACCATATTCACTATCATAGAATATAATGAATTTCTGCCAGGCATACTCTGTGACCACTCTTAAGATAACATCGTTCAAGTAGACAGGTGGGCGAACTGAGAGAGTGTAGTCATCATTCCTATTGCTCCGGGTGAGTCCACAGCCACTTCTTGGGGTCCCAGCTGTTGAGCGCTGAATGAAGAGGTGGGGGATGTGCATGGCATCTGCCAAAGACTGGAGGGATCCTGCTGACGTGCAGCCAATGGAGCTGACCAGAGCCAAGATGCCTTGATTCATAAGTTCACAGGCTGCAAGAAAGCACAGTAATAGTCAATATGTCAATGGGGTTCGTAATATTTTCCCTTTTTGAGAAGCAGTGGACAGATAAGACTTACGGAGTTATCATATAACTATGCTTTTTTTTTTTTTTAGAAAGGAACAGTCTATCATATAGAGATCCTCAAATTACAAAGTGCTATTGGGATTTATTTCAAGAATTCTGCCCTTATTAGCATGTGACCCTGCACAAGTCACTTAGCTTCTCTTGGCTCAGTTTCATCATCTGGAAAGAGGGTAATATAACATGACTCTTGCAGGATCATTGAAAGAATTACAGAACATGCAGTGTCTGTTATTTGCCTCTCACATGATACTCAATTAGTCTCAATTAGTGGTAGTTAAACTTTTATAATTATCAATTTATAATTCAGAGAAAAGATAAGTCCTTACTTAGTATACAAGGTTTTAAAAAGTAGATACTATTTAAACTGGTGGATGGAGGGAGGGAGATGAAGGTTTGGAGGAAGGCATTTCTGGCCACAGAAAACAGCCATTTTGGCATCTAAAAATCTGATGACAACTTTGTCTCTCTCAATAAACTGGAGAAATAAAAATGTTTTTATTTTTTTCCTTGACAGTTATAAAATTCATGGTCAAGTCAAATCAAATCAAATCCTAAATTTCAACAACTATCGCAATCTAGTTCCTAGATGAATAATTTCTCATTTCTACTCTATGGTTTATAATCTCTGTTTTAATGTCATTTTAACTATTCTTTGTATGTACTTACCTCAAAATGTACTTAAAACTAGATCAAATATAAATTGTAAGTACATATAAAGACATAGCAGATTTGGTAAAAAGAGTTAAGAAGTTATGTCTCATAAAGCCAATGTTTGAAGGTAAAAGATTAGAAATAAGTTTAAAAGTAAATTCAGAAAGAGCCAAGGCAAAAATTATTTCTGTATTTCCAGTTGTTATAAGTGGTTCAACCTTTATTCTAGATTTTAGGCATTTTAGGTATTTTCCAAGAGGCAGACTTTATTATGTAATGTATTTTTTAATGTAATTTTTGTAAAGCTTAAAGGCAAATTTAGATGGTAAGCACTTCTATGTAATTAATTAGCCAGTTAATAAAGGCTGATTCAAAGCGCAAGCTTAGAAGTATAATACTATACCAATGACAAACATATAAACATCAAATACATTTATTATTATTAATGTTAAGCCAACCAATACATACAAAATAAATGAATAATTATTATGGACATATTTTTCAAGCATCGCCTCATGAGAGAGGTTTATTGATTCCAAATAAATATGAAAGATAGTATCAGGGATGAAGGCTTCCTAGACCATAACAGATTGAGTTTGAAGTTTTAGTAAAAATCACACATTCTGCTCATGTCCATGAATTCAACTTTTATAGAAAGCAATATAAATATATATTTGTAATTTCACTGAATTTATGAAAAAAGAGAGTTTGTTTCATCATTGTGGTAAATAAGACAACTACTGATTTATACAAGCAAATATCAATTCACTTTTTAAAACAATTTTGTTTAAAAGCTTTGTTCATTTAGTGGTTAAAATAAAAGTAAGAAGAGTACCTTAAGGTATACACAGTTGAATTTAATCTTTAGATTACACTAATTGCAAGCGATTAAGCAATGATAACATTTTATATGTCTCTACCACAAAAATCATAAAGTTATAAATATAGAAGTTTGAGGCAAAAATTCAGTTCCAGTATTATATTGTCACATATAACATTGCAGGAAGATTGTCTGTTTTAATCTTTAGATTTAGAAGGATAAACTCCAAAATGAAATCTTGCTTAGCAGATAAATTTGCTTTAGCATATCAACTTATTTCTTCCAATTAACTATGTTATTTCCTGCTAATCACTGTTAGAAAGAGCACAAACTAAGCAAATACTAAAACCAGTTATTTTTATATAAGAAAATGTGTTGTTTTTGGATTACTATTTGGTATTACCTATCCTGCTACACATATTAGTGAGAATAGCTGAAATTTCCCTATAAAATCAAAATATATACCATCAAAAATTACAGTCAGAAAACAAACAATGCCAGACCTGAAGGACAATGCAGATGTCATGTAGTCCAGGGATGGAAAATTGGCTTTACCTACTGTGCCAATCATGACTTGTTGGTAAATGGGCATTCTGAAACACTATTTTGAGAAAGATTCTAAGACTCAATAATAAAAAGTACCAAAATCATTTTGTGAGGTTTCTCGTAGGAAGAGACTGGGAGAGTAGTGGCCTGCAAGTTATCAATGTACATTCCTCTGATAGTGCCTAACCTTTGGTTGTTTACAGTTATCAAGAAATCACGAACACCCCATTTAACAAAAAAATAGAAGACTCAGCTCTCTAATGCATGGCCCAGTGTCCTTTTTACTGCAACAAGCAAACAATGAAGAATCTTTTATTCATAACCTTAACATTTTGCATGACAAAGAAAAGATTGAGCTAGAGTTCACCATAGGAGGAACCTCAATTGGAGATTGTCTAATGTCAGGTTTGGTGAAAAGAGGTAGTTCCACTAAAGAGATAAGGAAGAGCTTACACAACTAAAATGGATTGGAACTGATTGACCCAAAACACAACCCCAGTTGTGCACATATAAAATGTGCCTATGCAGTAACTTATCATTTCCCTTTCGAGACTGTATTTAATGCTCATTTTGCCCTATTTTACCCCAGTTGAAGCATACAAGATACAAATGGATTGCTCTGGGTCTCAACCATCCTTAAGGCCCAAAATAAAGGTTAGTATAAAAAGTAGACTGTAACTCATGACAGCTAAAGAGAGATTTGAGGAAATAAACGGATACACCAATAACAGAAGCAAAACTAAGTGAGACAGTCTACTTTTTGCAAGAATTCCATATTTTAACGGTTAAAAGATTGCATCACTGAGTTTTAGTTTTATAGAATGCATACATCAGTTTATTAGACATAGTATGAGAACTGAATTTGGAAAGATTGAAATGCGTGTATTTATGCACCAATTTTTTATTAAAAGAATCCAAGACAAGGACTACTCAATGGCATATTTCTTTGTCATTATTATTACAAGCTCTGTGATTTATTTATACTATGTATACATGTATACACAGACATCCACACATATAAACCATATTGAACAGCTTGCTGGTTTTGTGACTCCAGATGTTTGAGATTTTAACACTATAAAAGTTGTTTAAAGACTGAGATAATTGCCAAAAGCATACTTGTTTTTTTTTTTTTTTTTAATAGTAATTGCAATCAGCAACACTTTTACCCTTTTTGGTCAATCAGCAGTTATGAAATTGAAGTTGGCTGTATAAATGTAAGTTAAATGATGTTCATGTCCACTATCTTTTTCATTTATAAGCTAAAGAGTTTGAGTCTTCTTTTTCTTATTAAGTAAAATAAAATTAAAACTAAATTCTATAAAGGGATTAGAAATTGATTACCTGTTACTATATATACAATGAGAACTCAGTGAAATATTTTTGGATAACGCTATCCTTCTTGAACACATACATTCTTTGTGATATTTTTATGACTTATTTATATTGACCAATCTGTCCTGATATAACTTCTTCCAAGGATTTTAAGTCATATCAGAACTTTAGTATATTCCATTTATACACTGCTATGGTTTGAATGTGTCCCTCAAAGTTTGTGTGTTGGAAACCTGATCCCCAAAGTGGTGGTGTTGGGAGGTGGGAACAACAGGAGGTGTTGGGGTCTTGGGGGCACTTCCCTCTTGAGTGGATTAATGCTGTTATAATGTTGGGTGTGGGCTCCTTGTGAAAGAACAAGTTTGGACCTTCTTGCCTCTGTTTTGCCCTGTCTTTGCTCTTCCACCATTGTATGACCAGCAAGAAGGCCCTCCCCAGATGCTGGCATCTTTATCTTGATTTTCCAACCTCCAGAACTGTGAGAAAATAAATTTCTGTTCATTATGAATTACCCTGTCTCAGGTACTCTAACAGCACAGAAGGGACTAAGACATTGACACACATATATCAACCTTCAGATCAGAGAATGTATATGGCAAGTTCTAGCCTCAGAGAGCTCCCAGGCCATACACCACAGTGTTTCCAAAATCTGCCCTGAGTCACAAGCAATAGTGGAGATTTTAAAAATTACAAATAACTGAGTCCACTCCTAAAGGTTCTACTTTATTCAGTACAGGATGGTAGTTGTGTATTGTCATTACGAAGTGTTATCTGAGTGTGTAACCCTTCCTGGAAAACATTAGTATGGTGTATTGTAACTGTAGTGCTCTTTGATTTGATTGTTATGGAACAGCTAATATTTGTTGATTTTTCTTTACTTTTTTTCAATAATTTTCAATAATATTCAATAATAATTGTAACTGGGAATTAGAACTTACCAATTTTTCTAATTCTCTTAGTTTGTGGACAGGGGTGAAATGTAGGAAAATAAGATGCATAAAGTTAGTAAAAATCATAGCACCTCAAAAAGTGATTCTTGTCTTCCTTTTACTTCTAATAATAAACTAAGAAGAGTTTATTCTTTCCAGTTTTTGTAATTCAGATGCAATATATGATATTTCTACAATTCTAAAGTGTATGTAGTTCCTTTATTTTATCATATCCAAAATCAAGACATATTTTTATTAATTGATCAATAAATTTAATACAATGGATTATTTTTCTTTAAAAACTCAATAAATAATGAATTTTAAAATCATTGAGTTCCTATAAGTGAGGAAATATGGTAAGCTACCATGGAAAATGAAAAGGATCTGTATTCTTTCTACAACAGCTGAATTTAATTTAATATCTTTTTTCTGTTTATTTCATTAATGAATCACAAATATAGTATTTATAATTGCTTTTTTTCTTTTTTCTTCCACCAAAAAGCACCTGATCTTTGCTTATATACTTACAAGAATAAGTAACACAAACAATTTCAGCCTATCTAGACATTTAACATTCTTTGTAAATATGATTTTCAGCAACCATATGAGAGGTAACATTTAAAA